AGTAAAGTACTTTAAAGGTGCAGGGGAGGATCTCGTCTATGCTGACCCATTGGATTTTGTACCTGCGCCTCATGGCTTTTTGCCCAAGGTGAAGAACCCAGAGGTGAGGGCTTGGGCTTTGGAGGTTCATGCTTTGTGGAAGAATTTGAGTAAGAAAGTTTCGACCTCGGTTCATTAACATCCTGAATTGCATACTATGCTTCCTTTGCCAGGGCCTGTCGTGATTCCTGGTTCACAATTCAGGGAGGTTTATTATTGGGATTCTTACTGGGTTATCAGGTTAGCTTTTGATTTCCTTACGTTTCAGATTGATCATAATGTTTCTGTTGCATTAATGTTATGAAGGTTTAATAGTTTATTTTTTAGATCATTTGAGAAAGGAATATGATTCAGTTCAGTAATTGAGCTTGAAGCATCGATTTGGGCTAATGGTAAGGTGCTGATCAAGAAAGCAAGCATTGCTGGTCTAATTGTCTTTGGGACAATTGCTCCCTTATGGCTTCACAGATGTCAGAATTATTAAAGAAAAAATGATGTCTTAGTTTACTAGATCTTACAGTTATCCTATTGGTGATTGATGTTAATATGCTTGTGTAGGGGCCTGCTGGCAAGTAAAATGTATGAGACTGCAAAAGCAATTGTGACTAATCTCATTTCCTTGCTAGATACATGTGGTCATGTTCTTAATGGTGCAAGAGCCTATTATACCAACCAAAGGTAATGCTTTCATTTATTTTCTTAGCATTTTTTTTGGGAACTTATATCTGTAGTAAAAAATGTACAAATTTTCTTCTAACTCTGCAATTCTGCTTTTGAGAAGTGTTGTAGAACTCAAATTGGTAAATTACCTAATACTTTTACAACTATTTACCTAGTACTCAAATCAGTAAATTACCTACCATCTTAATTGCTCATACAACTATTTATAAGCTTTGAGGTACACTTTGCAGCCAGCCTTCCCTCCTGAGTGCAATAGTTTATGAAATATACAATCGGACTGGTGATATGGAATTGGTGAGGAAGGCTTTCCCACCACTGCTTAAAGAATATCAATTTTGGAACTCAGGTAAGCTGAGTACTCTACTTGGACGTCAATATATGGATTGTTCCAACTTTTTCTCAACAGAAGAGTTCTGCTTTAACTTCCTCCTCTACTTCAATCTCTCTTAACTTGAGTTTTCTGACTTTTACGTTCTATGATGTTGTAGAAATACATAAGGTGATTATCCGTGATGCTGAGCAGGGGAATCACTCTTTAAATCGGTATTATGCAATGTGGAACAAACCCAGGCCTGAATCGTCAACCATGGTGATTTCTTCTCTCCAACTTGCTTACCTTGCTAATGTTTTCATGTTGCATGTTGGAAGAATTTTTGTTTAACTTGCTCTATCTGCCAGGATAAAAAATTTGCTTCAAAGTTATTGAATGATTCTGAGAAATAGCAATTTTACCGAGAGTTGGCTTAAACTGCTGAATCTGGATGGGATTTCAGCACAAGATGGATGAGGTAATACTTTGCATGGCTTACTACACAGTCTAACAATATAATTATACTTGATGATGGCATGTTTAATACCATGGTTAGTTACAACAACACTGGGGAATTTTCTATATATCCACCCTAAGGCCTTTCCAACATTGTGGAGTTTGTACAATCATGCTCATCTGGCTGTGTCTCTAATAACTAGGTTTAGCTAGGGCAGTCTGTCACATTTCATATTTGAGACTTTACTAATCAAATAAATGAAATCTTATGGTGAATTCTCTTTGTGCCAGGAATCCTTCTGAATTTACAACTTTGGCTACAAAAAAATTTTACTTGTTGATTTAAATATATTCATACTAAGGGTATGTTAGAACTTCTCTTAAGAAGTCCTGAGATCAGTACTCCATGGACTTAATGACAAAATCTGTTCATTTCTTGATCTAGATGGAACTTGACATTGCCTTCTTCGCAAAAGTTGTTGGAGAGAATACTGTTGCAGAAGATTTCCTCAGAGCTTCTCAGACAAGACGGAAAGCATTCAACTCTGTTTTTTGGAATGAAAAGATGGGACAATGGCTGGATTATTGGCTCAATAATAATGCTGCATGCGAGGTTGTATCCAAGTGCCATAGTTTGTAAGGTGATACTATACAGTTATAACATTCTTTAAAATTTTGTCATTTTGATGCTCTATCAGGAATCTCAGACTTGGGAAGCTCAGAACCAGAATCAAAATGTGTTTGCTTCAAACTTTGTTCCCTTGTGGATTGATTCGTTCAACTCAGGTTTGTAACTCTTGAAGCCTGACTGGCTATTTTGAGACTTGGTGCAAATAATGTTTGTTTGTAGAGGGATTTTTTCTGAGGAGAGAGGAAGTATTGCAAACAAGTAAAAGGATGTGCTAGAGGCATCAGAGAGGAAGATAAGAGCTGTTCTAGAAATATTGAGTGTTGTAGCGGGTAGAAGAGAATAGATGAATAGAAGAGTAATGATTAAGAATAAGTAAAGAATAGGCAAATGATAGAGTAACCGTATTGTCAAAGTAGTACAGTAAGATTGAGAATAGATAGAGAATAGGCGAGTCGTAGAGTGAAGTTGAGAAATACTAAACAAAGAGAGTTGGAGAGAATATTTAGAGAGAGAAGATCTTCTTGAAAATATATTTTACTAGTTTTGAAAGTCTTCTCGAATTGTGAAAGCTATATTTATAGAGTCAGAAGAAAGAGTTACTCAAGAATAGGTTTTAATGCACATAATGAGTAAAATTTATTGAGAAAAGTTTTAATGCACATAATGAGTTACTTTGTTGGAGTCTATGCTTGGAGTCTATGCTTGGAGTTACTCATAATGAGTTGGAGACGTAGCTTGATCATGCTTTGTTGGAGTCTATGCTTGGAGTTCTACGTCTCAAACTTTAAAGCTACAGCCCTGATTAATGAAGAATAGTCCTTCCAAACTCAAAGAACTTGTAGTTTATTTAGATATAGGTCTGTGGTAAAGAATGGTATATCATGTCCAGGTTTAGAGACCATAAGCCATTAAAACTTCATAATGAAAGATTAGCTATTTTTGACTATGCTGCCCTTGTCCCTGTTGTTTACCATAAATCATTAATAGAAAGTCACTGTTTCCAAACTAGCTCAATGTGGCTCTTGGGCAAGTAACATTGGAAGCAATGAGTGGTAAGTATAGTAAAAGCAACATGAAGGATCAAGGTTACTAGGCTATTATTATAAATTTATTTTGTAACATTTATCTTTTATGTTAACTTGTTTATAATTCACTTAGTAAAATCTATAAAGAAATTATCTTTTCCTTTATAAATGGAAGAAAGCTTAGAATCTTTTGATATGTCCATATGTGAAGATACTCCTCTGGTAGAAAAGGTCACGAGAAGTCTTCAAAGTTCAGGCCTGTTATGTGCTGCTGGAATTGCAACCTCTTTGACAAATTCAGGAAATCAATGGTTAGTAAATGTCTTGCTCAACTTGACAGACATTACCCTTTTTTTCCTTTAAATGGTAGATGGTCATTCAGCGAATTAGTCTATTGATCAATGCATGAGTTGTGCATTTGCTTTTTCTTTATAGTATTAATGTTACAAAGGGAAAATAAAACTTGTGCACACAGGGACTTCCCAAATGGTTGGGCTCCACTTCAACACATGATAGTTGAAGGTTTGTCAAGATCTGGATCGACAGAAGCAAGATCAATTGCAAAAGACATTGCTGAGAGGTGGATCAAAACCAACTACATTGCCTACAAGAAGACAGGCGCAATGCATGAAAAATATGATGTGGAAAAGTGTGGTGAATACGGTGGTGGTGGTGAATACAGACCCCAGGTAATACTACATAGTTAGTCTTTTAACATAATGAATGAAATTTTGACATTGAACAGACGAAATTTCTGCATAAAGAAATGGCATCCCAGTTCTTTTTCTTACTTTTCAAGTCTGTTTTTGGTATGCTGTGATGCAGACCGGTTTTGGTTGGTCCAATGGAGTAGTGTTGGCATTCTTGGAGGAGTTTGGATGGCCTAAAGACCAAAAGATAGACTGCAA